GTGTGTATGTATGCATATCATTATATATATAATTTATATCAGGTGTAAAAGTGCCAAGAGGTAAGAGCATGGGGATGTACTTATAAATGGATTATGAAAAAATAAAATAAAAATAATAAATAATATAGATACTATGCAAAAAGAAAAATCGTTTACTCAGAGAACAAATTGTATTTTCCTGTTTCTCTCTTCCTCTCTTTATTCTAATCTTTTTTTTCTTTTTTTTTCCTGCCAAACCTCTTGTACGAATTCAAAATGAGACAAAGGTGTTAAATCTCTCAAAAAAAAAATTCTTTGGTGAAGCACTGAACCAGTACATCAGCAACATTGTATGAGGAAAATAAATAACAACGGTATACAAAAAAAAAAAAAAAAAAAAAAAAAAAGTTCAAACCTTATCCGAGCTATTTTTATACGAGATTACTAAAAAAAAATACCTTACTCACGCCACTTTTTATTGTTCTGCCTCTCCATAAAAATACAATTAATTATTTTATAGACTGTTCTGGACAGTGATGATATCTGTTACACACTGAACAGCTTTATGCAAATGAGATGTGGAATCGTAATTTTTGTCATGTATGAGGATTAGCTGGTAATTGATTTAATATGGGAAATATTCAATTGTTTTAAATGTGGCGACTCTCTGCGCTCTGGATAAGCACTAAGTGTATCATATGACTTCCTTTAATGTTTGTATTTTTATAACTTTATTCACAATAGTTCTGATAATAATGCTACGGCTATGGAATTGTTACAATTGCTACTTTTATTTCTGGAATATAGTAAAGAATTTCTAATTTTGGGTAATTTTAGGAAAATCAAAAAGGGAACTTTGTCCCCCGTTTCTGAATTATTATCATTACTACTCTCATTATCACAATTATTACTGTGTATTAGTCTATTTCTTTATCATTTTATTACCATGTATCTATTTCTTTATTTTACCATATTATCCCCACGAATTTACTTATTTATTTGTCTCTTTACCATTTTTTCCCCACGTATTTTATTCCCACTTATTTTATTCCTACGTATTTTATGTCCCCGTATTTCTTTACCATATCATTCCCACGTATTGCATATTGCCAAAGCAACGGAGAATATATATATCAGGAGAGTAAACCGAAATCAGAGAAGGACGTCAGTGGCTGGTGTATTTTGGCCATCCTATCTTGCTCTTTTTTTTATTTATTCTAATTTGGCAGGTCAAAGTAACTGCTTTTTAATCCACCAGATCAAAAGATTTATGAAGTGTTTTGCGTTATATTGTTTATGTAAATGCAGAGAGGGAGGAAACCACATATTTTAAATAACTTTGCGGACATGAGTATGATTTTTTTTTTCTTTTTGATGATATTGTTGCATATATTAGGCGGGTTATTATGCAAGACTGATCTTCTAGAGAGAAAAAATATATATATATAGACAGAAATATAAAACATATCCATATATCATATAGTAGATGTTCATGCATGTATGGATGTGCATGCAATATTTATCCGCACAGGAATATTTCAAAGAAATTACAAAATATTTTCTACGAGCAAAACATATATTTTTTCTTACACAGAATATTATCATTATCGTTATCATTACTTTTTAAAATATCATTATGATTTTCTCTTTTTCTTTTTAAGACAAAAATCAATATCTAACCATCGATCGATCCACCTACATACCCATCACGCTGCAAAAACCACACACAACCACACGTACTTTCAAAAAACATATAAACTGACGAAGAGAGGTAACGAGACACGCACATTGGGTAACCAGCGCCGGGCGGAGAAGGGAAAGGAGCGAAGAGTCTGCAATGTTTGTGAAGGAGAAGCAGCAGTAGCCAGACCAGCACCGAGAGACCCGCTCCGGTGCTGGCTACTTCACAGTGTTTGCTGGACACACGGGCCAAATGGAGGCTAATTCATCACAGTCGTTTTTTTGTGCGCCGCCCGTTGCCTATTTGACCGCTCTGTTGTTTAAGCTTTGCGGAGATATTCTTGATGGAACGATGGATGAAGGGAGAAAAAATTGTTTTATGGGAGGTGTGTACGTTTTGTTACATTTATTTATGTGTGTAATTGTGTTTTGTTGGGTGTTTTAGCTGGTACGTTATGGGTATGTGTGTGCGCGTGTATGTATGTATCACAAACACGCAGATGTATAGACTCACGCAGATTATTAACGGTCTGGAGGTATTCAGATAAGGGAGAGGAAATGCAAATACATGTGAAAATAATCTGTGAGTTCCCTGGTAGCGAACAGCGCGGGGCGTTCAGAGTATTGCACAGTACACACGAAATATATCACGTATATTACACAATATTGTTAGAGATCATGTAAATAGTAATAAAACAAAAAAACACTTCTAACGTATCTTTTAAAAGGAAAAAAAATACACAAGAAACGCCTCGGAAAAAAGCAAACAAAGAAATAACGCTACATGAGAAAAAAACAGAATGAAAAAAGAAAAAAAAACTTGCCTTTGGTGTTTAACTTTCCCCATATCGCGATGGCTGAGGGAAAGATCTATCCAATTTCTCCTTGTAGTAGCGTCTTGCTCATCTATGCAAGGTTGAAATGCAACGTGTGCAGTTACCCCCTCAGTCCTCAGTCTTGATCGATCTGGACAGAGGCCGCCGCTAAGCTCCTTTCCCGTTTATTTGAGTCCAAACTTCTTTCTTTAGTGTTTACGTTTCATGGGTAACTAATCTATATTTAGTTTGCGCGAATGGAGTGTGGACATGAGGGACCCGCACAGGTCGTGTTTTTATATCTTGGTGAGGGGTCGGCGTCGTGTACTGGCCGGGCAAC